CCCCAAAACCCCAAAACCCCAAAACCCCAGAGTGTATTGAATAATTAAAAAATTAGATATAGCAAATTAATTATGATAGAACAAATTGATAATAATTTGAATTTGAATTGAATTTGAAATGGAAACCAAATATATTTCACAGTCTTAACTTAGCTTTGGACTTACAAGTTCACTTATAGTGGAGAGAGCTCTAGCCAAGATTGGTGACATCAACACCATCCTATCTAAGAGCAGGCTAAGACTTAAGTTTGATGCTATATTCAAGAGTGCTCTAAGTGGTGATAACTTTGATTTCAATTAGTTGCAGTCGCTATTGATTGAAGTGCACACATTTAGTCTTGATTAATATGATTTCATCAGAGCTGTCACTTAAAATTTCATGGATGACTTTTAATAAAACTGGAAATCAAACTACACTTAACTGATTATAAACACTCTTCAAGGTATGGATCAGTAAGCAGAAGAAGCTACAGTTCAAGATGAGATGTAAGAGATAACTTAGGCTTGTATGACCAACTTGTTCAACATATTTACTAATGCCAAAAAAATCCTCACTATGATTCAGACTGGATTCCCTCAGTTAGGCAACATCATTTTAAGACTATATGACATACTTAAGAATGGAATAGCCAGAATGACTAAAGTTAACTTGAAAAAGGTTTGCAGTTTGTTCTTTATTTACGGCTTTATGGAATTTGAAAATATTTCCGCCTAAATCATCAGCTAATACTTCTAAAGCGATATGGACTCCCAGCAGATAGAAGAGATCCCTCTCATAAACATTGAAGGAGATGTAAGCCAGATTATATTTGGATAGTTCAACGGCAACTTTCCCAGCCAATATAACGGTCAGATGCAAAAGCTTCAAACACTTTCCAACATCATTATTAATTTAGGATTATCTGAGTATCTAGAGGTAGCATTTGAAAAGATTCTACTCAATTAAGTTGATAAATACCTAGACTAGATTAGAGGTGAGTTCATACAGCCCTGCTTGAAGATAGTCTAAGACTACCTTCAGAACATCATCTCAAGATGGGTCAAGGATGTAGTTAATCTCGATCAAACTAATGACAGTCCAGATATCAAACTTGCTAAGTAAAAGATCCTTTCTAAATGGGAGAGAGACTTGGAGCACACCCTTCTTACCAAATTTGTTTCCCTTAGAACTAAGGATATTTTTGAAATCTTCCAGGAGTTCCCAGACTCAATGCCTTCTATCAACGACTTTAAATACGCTTTGGAGAAAACTCAACTGCACAAGCAGTTTGTCAATCAGGTGAAGGAGCAGTTCTCTCAGAGATTGCTACTTCCTGGAGTGATCACATTTATCATTATTGAGCACTACATCCAGGCTATCAGAGTTCTCAAGCTAATTGATCCTTCAACTATCCTTCTTGAAATGATATCTGAGCCTATTAAGGATCATCTGAGACAAAGATAGGACACCCTTAGGTGTATAGTCCAAAGTATTTTAGCTGATGAGTCTGAATTGTATAACTAACTTGGATAAGCTTATGTGAGGATACCTCTCAGAGGCTCAAAGAATAATAAGCTGGTAGACTACAAACAAAATGCAGCTGAGTACAATGGAGGACCAAGTGGAAGAGATGATGACAACGATGATTACATTAGTTCTGATGAAGATGAACAAGCTGCTGAGAACTGGGAGCCATTGCCTTTGCAAAATGACATGAGAGATTTCTTCATTTCAGCCAAAAGAAAGAAGACTGATATCATCTCAACTCTTGTGAATATCTATGGCTCATAAGATGCATTCCTGAAAGTCTACAAGTCGATGTTGGAGGAGCGTTTGCTTTCAGGCAACGAAATCAAGCAAGAGAATGAAATCAGAAACCTGGAGTTGATGAAGTTGAGGTTTGGAGATTAGAACTTACACTCAAGCGATGTTATGCTGAGAGATATAAAAGAGTCTGAGAGAATCAGGATTGCCACTAGACAGATTATAGAGAAGAAACAAAATGAGACTGGAAGGCACGTGATCTATGGCTCTTCTGAATTGCCTATCCAAAATTTAAATGCCTGTATCATATCCAAGGGCTACTGGGATTCCATACAGGAAGATGATACTGGCAATTAGTTTAAGCCACCTAAGTTCCTCCAAAAGGCTTATGATGATTTTGAAGCCATTTACTAGTCATTGAAGAGAATCAGAAAAGTAAACTTCAAACCTCAACTGGGGTCAGTTAACCTCACTCTTCACTTCAACAATGGCAGTTTTAAGTTCAGAGTCACGCCCATTCAGGCTTCCATTATTTCTCTTTTCAATGATAAGAACCCAAAGACTCTATCAGCAGACTTCATTGCAGACCAACTTGATATCAAAGTCGATGAGGTGAGAAGAAAAGTATCATTCTGGGTGTGCAAGGGAGTGCTGAAGGAGATCAAGAAATTCAAGCAGATAGGCACTAGTCACTATAGGTCCACAGCTCTCCTCAGCAACTCAGACGTTGAGATATACTATCAATCAGTCGATATCCTTGAATTGAAAGGAGACTAGAGAAACTCAGAGAAGTTGATTGAGGCTAATGAACTCGTAGACTTTACATAGCAAGATTAGATCATTAGGATTCAGCAAGTGCAGAGTCAGGATGATGATAAGTTGGTGAGAGGATTCGTGATGAACATTATCAGCAACTCAAACACTCCCTGCAACTTCGACAGAATATTCACGATGCTAAAGAATGTCTACATGAATGGCCAGAACATTCAAAAGCCTGGGCTGGAGGAGTTGCTCTTCAAGATGACTAATGAGCAGAAGATTTCATTTAATGGCTAGGTCTATACTGCTTATAGTAAATGATATGAGTGAGCTAATATCATGCTTGGCTGAAGATAAAAGACTTGATTACCTGATAAAATTTAAATAAATCATTAATCTTTATTTAATAAATCTCATATTCGCATTAAAGTTAATAATTATTAAAGTAAATTAAAGTAAATGGAAGGACATCCTATTAAAAAGCTCAGAAATAGAGGTCTGATTGACTTGGATGAGGAGACTGCTTCCTTTGAAAAGTCTTGTGTCAAGATCGTAAACAAGAGAGAAGAAAAGAAGAATGAATAGGCAGTCAACAATAGTCCTCATGAATTAAGTTAGCAATCTGTTGCTTCAATGCAAATAATCAGTCCAATTAGAGAAAGAGATGCTCAGTAGCTGACTGAAAATTAACCAGGGTAGGAATCAAAGAATAATAAGTCTGAGCCAACAGATTTATAACCAAAGAAGAAATAGTCTTTATTCGCTTAAAGATTATAAGCTAAGAAGTAAGAGTAATAAACAGATGATACCAAGACTGAGCAGCCATAATCTTTTCCCTAAATGTTCAAGGTTGATCTGAACTCTCCTTAATCATAGATGAAAACCAATAAAAATCCGCTTAAGCAACTAAGTGAATTTAAGTAGATTGAGGGTATTGATGCCAATATGCATTAGGAGAATCTGCAAAAACTCAGTCAAATGTCCAAGGAAGAGATCAAGGAGCAACTTGAATTTCTTAAGAGCAACTTCAATCCCAAGCTTTTGGACAAATTAAAGAATCTTGGATCATAAAAAAAGCCTGCAAACTCGACTCAAGAAGAAAGTGAGGATAATGAAGAAGTTAAGAGAAATGAAAACTCAAATAAACCATTAAGTAAGCTTAAAAATAATCAAAAGAGAGATGATTAGCCAATCTAAATGTCAGAGGTTCATGATACAATCAGCTAGGCACATGATAGTATGAATTTTACTCAGAGCTACCTTCTAAATTTTATGTTCAATGCCCAAGGAAGAGTAGTAATGAAGGATGATTAGAACTTGTCTGAGGCAGAAAATGCTATGGTTTAGGAAAGAAATATTAACTACATTGACAGTGAGGAGTTTGAAAATATGGACTAAAAATTCTTTACCTTAAAAGAACTTTAGAACTTGCTTGGCTCTTCTGATTTATACCAGAGAAATTATGCTTTGAGATTATTGAAATCACTGGTGAAATCAGAAAATATTTCAACAAATGATCTTTTTAAGCTTATTCTCAATAGAGAGCACACAAAGATAATTGATAGACTATTGATACTCCTAGCTTAGAATTAGAGAATAGATGCAATTATGCATCTATTTGAAGTACTAGAATGTATCATACATAGATTATTTGGGAACATTTTGACTCAATAAGAAAACTATGAAATATTAAACTTAGCTGAATTATGGAAGTCTAATTTGACCGTGAATAATCTAGCGCTGGTTCAATTCATTGATAGCACATAGTTGTCAAGCAGCAATAATGGCTTGATACTTAATGATTTTAAGATTATGAGTGCTCTAACCAACGACACTGTCATTGAATAAATAATTAAGAAGCAGCTTATTCTTGCAGAGAGACTCATTGTAAGAATACTTAACTAGATTTAATTTATTATGTAATAGTCTGATAATGAGGTACATCAGTTGGTTGATCAATTAGGACTTAGACTTAACCTGCTGAATTTGCTAGCTTAATATAGTTAAGAAGTTGCCAAGATTATCTATGAAAAGTTCGTTAATAAGGTTAGATATTGACTTCTAAATTAATTATGATTAGGTAGGAATTCAATTGATAAACATACTGATAAGGTATGAAAATTAAGAGTTTCTGGAGTTACTATTGAAACTGATAGGAACTATCATGAAATATTGTGATGATTGGTGCTTACCACTTAAGAATGAGTTTATGCTTAAGCAGACACTTAAAGACTTTATTACTATGGTTACTTTAAGAGATATAAAAGTTGAGAAATTAGGCATATCTAGGGAATATTTCAGATTGCTGTCGATCATTCTCAATTTTGATCAAGGAGATATAGAAATAAATGAGTACTCTTTGATTTTCTAAAATGCTTTTGAGCATTCACAAGATCCTATCTTGATAGCAATAATGATTGGTTCTCTAAATTTCAAAGTAGCACAAAGCAAAGTTAAGGATCAGTTAATACTACCTGTAATCACTTTGCTCAAGTAAAGAGAAGATTTCATTAAGAATGAAGCAATATAAGTCAGACTATTATATCTCTAAAAATCTCTAAATCATTCTATAATAGATTTTAACAGCAATAACTATTAGAATATAAGCTAAGATTACAAGATCAAACTTATGACTTTGAATTCTGATATTGGCTAGTTAGAATATGCTACAGACCTTCTGAAGAATCAGCTATCAACATTAAAGGATTTAAACTAAGTTTAATACTAAGTATAGTAGGCTTCAATGAATGGTTTGAAGCATTATTTTCTCTCATTAATCGAGAATAAAAAACTGAAAAAGGCCTAGGTCATATCAATTTTACCATACTTACTACAAATAGTCTCAAAAGATGATTAATACTTCTTAATGCTTTTACTTAGTTCTTATTTATTCAGTGAACAGTTTACAAATGGAAAATTATTGGGAAATGATTAAGTTCTAATGCAATAAATGTATCTTAGCTATTGTATATCTGATTACTAAACTTATAAAGTATCATAACCCAACTATATGCTTTTGAAGCCAGGTGATTTTATCATTTTAAAATCATTGATGCAAGAGCCTGATATGAAAAATGAGCTCATTATACCCTTATTAGATGACTGGTTTATCAAGCCTTTATTCTACGTTACCAATAGAGATGACTAGAATCTCTAAGGACTGGTAATTTATAATCTTGAATTCTAATTTTTAAATATAGTGCTAATCCATTTTCAGATTTGTAGATTATGTGAATCAGCAATATGGAGTCAATTATGCCAGAGATTTATTCAGATTGACGAATGATGAATATGTGCTTTTGATAACAAGGCTGTTGATTCATAAGGAATTAAATTTCAACAGATACTCCAAGGAATCAATGTTCTTTTTTATTCAAAAGAACTACTACAAACCCACTTAGTCTCTTTAGGTATTTAGTGTAGAAAGATTTGACATTCAATCAGAGAATAGCCAATTGATATAAACATACAAAGATGCTTTTATGAAAGATTCTTTCTTAAATATCTTAAGTGACTTCTTCAGAGAGCAACCTATTGATGAGAATCCTATTTTTCTCTTTATCCTAATATTAGCACTGCAGATTCATAATGATCTTTAATTTAGAAAGACTTTGCTTTCAGATATAGCTGATGTTTACTGTTGCTTGATGGTTGCTGAGGAGGAACATTTAAGGATTAGATTAGATATAGCTAGTGTGAGAAAGTATTATAGATCAAGTAAAAGAGATCCTGAGGAGGAAATGTTCTATATTGGATTTTTTGAAAAGATTATGAAATAGATAAAGAACTATCCTGAGGACCAATAAGCCACTCTTGTGGATTCAGTTCTGTTCAATCTAATTAAAATTAATTTCTGATTTATCAATTATGATTATTGAATGAGATTATTTATGCAAGGGGTTTTGGGGTTTTGGGGTTTTGGGG